TTCCGTAATAATCCAGCAAAATAAAGACAAAAAATAAGAAAAATCGTTTATATATTTTGGAACGGCCTGTTTCGACGAGTGGTAACTTTCGCTACGGTTGGCCGTTTCGCACGCCGTTAGGGATGAAAGAAATTAGGTCATGAGCACTTTGAAATTGTATTAAAAATGTAGAAACGATAAAAGTTGATAAGCCCCCATAAAATGTGTGATATCGCTTGCTAATCATGATTCCATATGATAGCCGTGTTTCTATTAATCGTTTCTTCAAAAGAGATCTTCAAGCAATATTAATTGTAAATAATTAGAAAAAATTAGGATAACTGACACAAAATGTTCCTATTGTTTACCTTCATTACGTAAAATCATCTCTATTATTTCAATTTTGACATTTGGATCTTGAGTTCGACCACTCTTTGCTCAAATATTCCTATTGTCTCATTTCATCTGTTTGCTCTGTCAAATGGTCACGTGCAATCCATTCGTGTGATTTGTCCAAGATACTAATTGATATTCTTTTCCTATAAATGTGAGGTTTGATTTACTGAAGCAAAATTTGTGTTTACAACTCAAAGAAAATCTCGAGTTGTAGGTGACATTCTGAATTTGTACCGACGAGTTAGCAAATAAATATCGAGTTTGCTATGAAAATCTCGAGTATGCTATAAAAATTGATCATAGTGGGCAAGTATCGAGTTTTCTATGCAAATTTTGAGTTTGCTCTATTGCCTAACTTCAAATACTCATAATTTTTGATCCACAACTCTTGAATTGCACACCGATTTCTATGTTGAACTCTAAATTCAATTATATTTTCGATGGTATAAAATTTTCCCATGAAGATCTACATGACAAAATTTGATCTTAATTTCCTCACTTGCTACACATTGCAAAATGAAGAACCTACATGCAGAGCTTGTTAAGAAATTGGATGGTATATAATTTTCCCTATGAAGATCTACATAACAAAATTTGAGCATAATTTCCTCGTTACGCATTGCAAAATGAAGAACCTAAAGAACCTACATGCAGAGCATGTTAAGAAATTGGATGGTATTGTTAGCCCAAGAATAACTAACCAAGAGAGGGAGGGGGGAGGGGGGGGGG